GGCCAGGATGGTGTGTTTCGTTGGGAGCTACTTAAGTTTTTGGCTAGAAGCTTTTGTGGAGTTGAGGAGGGTGGTGCAGGAGGGTGGCTCCCGCCTGAGCCCCGCCCAGTACCTGCCTTGAGTGAAAGATAGCTGCGTGCCTCCCCTCACACAGGGCTGGGGCCCTGCTTTAGGGAAACACAGTCCTTTCCAACTTGGGAGGCCCCAGTCAGGGTTGGGGCTGGCTGGAGTGGGGGAGTGTTTGGGGACAGGACCTGCTCTCTCCCTTTCACTCGTAATCCACCCCCCCCCCCGTTCTTCCACCCCGAACAATAGAAGCTAAGTATAGGGCTGGCCCAGTGCCCAGGGCAGGGGGGCCCTTCCCGCCCGGATTCTGCCCCTCCCTGCCAGGCAGGCCCCCGCTTGGCTGTACCCTGCCCTGAAAAGGGCCTCTTCCTCTGCTTTTTTCCATGGGTACTGTGTGTTTCACCAGATGTGCAATCTTCCCAGATGTGAGGCCCGCTCTTCCCACTGCGCTGTGCTTGGCTTTTTCTCCGCCCGGCACAAGCGGGGAAGACAGCCTTCTCTGAGCTCTGCCCCTGGACCACCCTGCAGTGGGGAAGGGGTTAACCTGCCAGTGGGTGACTCACGGGGAGAGGAGGGGGAAGCAGGGGAGAGATAGTGGCCACATTGATTTCAGCCTCACGTTGCAGTCCCTAGGGCGGTGAGGTAATGGAGGGTCTGAGTCTGGGGCCGTCACCTAATAGTCCCTCTGGTAGCCCCCCCACCCCCACCCCCGGGCTGCCAGCCAAGTGTCTGGCCCTCTGGAGGTCAGAGGGTTACAAGACCTTCCTGTCCCCTTGGGGTCAGGTTACCCAGTTTTTGCCTTCAGCCTTGTCAGTGAATGGGGTGGGCTGAAAAGGAGGGTTGCCTGCTCTTGTTGGAGACTGTTCTTTCTAGAACCCAGTCTTGTTCCCCCGGAGCCTGCGAGACAGCCCAGGCCTCTGCTTCTGCTGGGGGAGACCCCAGACCCTCCGCTGTGAGCCGTCTACCCTGATGGACTTGATCATCGTTTGGTCTTGCTTCTGGAATCCTGCTTGTGTCCGCCTGGAGTAATGACAAGAGCACTTGACTTGGAGTCTTGAGTTGTTAAAGCCCTGTCTGTGTGATCATGCCTATTTATTCATTTTCCCACATAGACACCGAGAGTAAGGCTGATCTCCCCCTAGGTGGCCAGGAAGCTCAGCGAACCTTCCAGCAGCTCGTGACTGCCCCGGCGCTGGCGCCCTTTCTTTCCCCGGGCCTTTGGCTGGGGCTAGATAAGAACAGAGGGTGGGCAGTGGTGTGCCCCCGTGTCACACGCGTAGACGGTGGGAGCAGCGGCTGGAAGCTTTGTAGTGGAATGACGGTGGAGGGCCACAGGCTGGAGCGTGGGGTCGGTCTGATGGTGTCTGTGAATTGGCGAGCCCTGGTGTGGGGTGCTGAGCCGGTGCTCAGAAGGCCGAGCGAAGTGAGTGTGGGCATGGTGGACCGTGCCCGCTGAGGCTGGCCCGGTTCGCGTGGGCTGTGTGGGTGAGGGGGGCACGCGGCGGCGGGAGCTAAGCAAGGGTCGTGGACTTTAGGTGGCACATCTGTGTCAGCGGGTGTGTGGAGCATGACTTCGTGTGTGACAGCACGGGTGTAAGACCGAGGGCGTGCGGTGCCCGTAGCGGTGTGTAAGCGATGATGGGTGTGGCACGGAACTGTTTCCGTAAGGCGTCTGCGCGCGCCCGTCTGCGCACAGGAGTTAGGGCTCGGGATGATCTGCCCAGCCCTTCGCCAGGTCGGCCCCGCCGCGAGTGAGCGCGTTGCTCGCGCGCTGCTCGCGCGCGATGGACACAGCAGCACCCTGAAGCCGGGCCTCTGCAGCGCGGCACCAGAACCGCCCCCCTGGCTGGCTGCCTTTGCTGCAGTGCGCCCTCCCTGCCACCCCGCTGCGGGCCCGCCCCCGGCCGGCTGGGAGCCAACCGCAGCCCGCCCCGCCTCGCCCTCATTTGCATATGACTGACGTTCCCCCGGGGCGGCCAATGGGGGCGGGCGCGGCGGGGCCTGACCCGCGCGCGGCGGCAGCTGCCAATAGGCTCGCGCGCAGGGGGCCGGGCTTGCGCGGAAGGCCGCGGGGGAAGCGGGGAAGGGGCGGGGGGAGCGCGGCGGGGGGAGGGGAGCGCGTAGTAGTGGCGGGGCGGGGAGGCGGCGGCGGCGCGGCGCGGGGCTCGCTTGGAGCGCACGGACGCAGGCACGCCGGCCCGTCTGTCCGCCGGGGACCCGAGGTCGACCTGCTGCCCGGCCGCCGGCGCGGGGCCCGGAGAGGCGGGGCGGCGGGGCCAGAGCCGTTACCCGCCGGAGCTTCGAGGGCGGGCGGGAGGGAGCGAGCGAGCGGCGAGGCAGCCAGCGCGGGAGGGAGGGGGCCGCCCCCGCGCACGCGCGCCGCGCCCCGCCCCGCCC